TGTATATATATATATATATATATATATATATATATATATACATATATATATACATATATATATATATATATTGTAGAAATATATTGTAGAAATCTTTATACAACCAAGCAACCTCATTTATATAAACAAGATAAGAAGAATGCCATTTAGTTGGTAATATTAATATTGATAATACAATAAACCATGTCAAGTAAATACTAAAATAGATGTTTAAATATCTTGTTATTATATGATTATTTTTTATTTTATTTTATAATGAATGTCTATGCTGCATATTACTTATTCTAGTTTTGTTTACCCGTCAACAAAAGCAGCTGTCAGAGCTTTTACATGTTGTGATATAATCTTAATATCTAAATGCTGGTTGACAACTTAAGACAAGCATACCTGGATGTGTTTCCCCCACCTACCTGATTACAGAGCAGCGACACTTTAAAACCTGTGAAACTCCCTGATAACCCACAGTATCAAGTCTGTGGTAAGTACAAACCTATTCTATAATCTTGCTTTACACGCTTTATCTTGATTGTATATATAGAATGAATTGGAATAAAAACATGCTAAACAAAAAGTTTAATGCTTTAAGGATTTTTCAAAACCACAACACAATATTTAACACATTATACAAGAAATATCTATGTTTAATATTGCTTCTTTTTTCCTCCATAAATCATTCTAATATGCTGTTTCTTTGATGGTGGTACAATATAATCTTTACTCTCATTTTTAAATCAATTTCAAATGTTAAATGATCTGTGCGGTAATTTTTCGTTTTACCTTTTATATATATTTTTGACCTGTTTTGGACTACCTCCCATACCTATCCAACACCACCTGTTGTGCGGAGATTGGTCTTTGATTTAAGCAGTGTGTAGATTATAGTTTTTCCAATTAACAAAATTTGCGAACCATTACAGAATTTGTATTTGCTGTAACAAAGCATGTTAATGGTACTATACTTTATATTATGGTGCAATTTAAGATGCGTGTTTACAAGCAAACCTACAGGTTTAAATTGCTGAGAATATCCCCATGGATTTTTAAATATCAATTTTTTTTAAATAAAGAATTTTATCAAGAATAATTAAACAATTTTATTGATTCATTTGTTGACACATTTGTTTGGAATTTCCAGCTCAAATACAAATATTATATTCAATATTCAAAATCAAATACTGGTACATTAGTGCAAGAAGAATTTAAAACACGGTAAAGTACATGCTGTTCAAAAAGTTTTGACAGCTCTAAATCATCTGCCTGAGGGTAAGCACGTGAAAAGATGTCAAACCAGATGTGTGAAATATCTAGGTAAAACACAAATTTAACTTTGTAATAATGCATGGAGCTAATAATAATAATAATAATAAGAATAATAATAATAATAATAATAATAATGCTCTCTGATTACAGGAGAAAACCCACATCATCATCATGCGATTGTTTCTGGTTTTACCTCATCTGCTGTTGTTTCTATCAGTGTTTTCTTTGAGTAAGGTTTTGCTGAATATTTGTTTGCTTGATCAGTCCTAATGTGACAAAGCTATTCAAAATACACAGATGTATTTCTGGATTTAACGATCACTCTCTCTTTAACAGCCAGAACACAAACATCTGCACCATCAACATATGCAGCTACAACACCGGCAGGTAAGTGTAAACTGAGCAAACTTTAGGACTATTAAACTGTTATTGGCAGTTTTGACAGTTTTTTTTAGCTCACAGCGGCAAAAATAACTACTGTATTAAACATGTCACCGTTTTTCTCAGAAAACATATTTTTAAAGGTGCTGTTGACTTGAAATGTTCCCCGTATGTTGATAGCATACATATATGCAAAGAAAACAAATCTAACTAGTTTACAAATGAAGTTATGTGTACTAAAATGAAATAAGAGACAGGGAAAACGTATTGAACACATGAAGAAAGGGAGATGTAGAAAGGCAGTGAAAGCCCAGACAGCAGCTGAAATCTCTGTTGTTCTTCAGCAACCCTGACCTTTATCAGTGTAAATGAATATCAGCTGCTTTAGTTGAACATCTACATTAGCATAGGAATACAGATAAAACCAGGGTGGACATTACAGCAAGACGATGATCCAAAACACAGCCAATGAAACTAACAAGTGCTTTCAGAGAAAGAAAATCAAGCTGTATAATAGCCCATCCAGCCACCTGACTTGAATCCAATAGAGAATACAAAATTAGATTTGATAGATGAGACCCACAGAATCATCCAGATTTTTACACTCTGTTAAAGTCTGTGAAAACATCACACCTGAGCAATGCATGTGACTTCTCCATATGAGAGGCTGCCCTCACCAAAAAAAAAAAAAAAAGCCTTTTATATTAAGTATTAGGGTTTTCACACCTGCCTTATTTAGTTCAATTAATTTGCACCAGAGTTCGTTTTCCCTCTTGGTGCAGTTTGGGCAAGTGTGAATGTAGCAATCATACTGGATTGCGCACCAAAAGCAGACCAAAAAAGCATACCAGGACCTGCTTGAAGAGGTCCTTCACCGTTTGCAATACATTAAAACATAGCCGCAGCCGCGATTCATTCTCGAAATGTATAGTTTTTCTATAACTACTAATCTACTAATGCAAACTAACAATGCTTTAGAGGATTTGGGTCTTTAAATGCTTAAGTACTTTTAAAAGGGCTTCTTTTGGTAACTTTTTTTTACTTTGAGTGATATTTACAACAGATACTTTCACTCTACAGTACTTGTCTTGTACTACATTTTTGGGCAAGTAGTGGTACTTTTACTTGAGTATGATTTTCCAGTACTCTTTCCACCAATGGTTTTCAGGCAACACAATTGTATCTTTTTGAAAACACTTTGCAAAGTATATAAACTTGAAAATGCTGTTTTCATGCCACAGTGTGAACAGTGAAAACAAAGGCTTTAAAAAAATTATGAATTTTTAATCATGTGATTAATTCTGCTAAAACATGGAAGGACACTATACAGCAGTCATTTGGATGCTCTCCATTTAGATTGTACACAACTGAGTTTATTTTTTTCATCAGCAGTTACACAAACAACTGCACCACCAACACCAACTCCTCCTCAAACAAAAGCTCCAACAACACCACTGACAACTACAACTTCTCCAAAAACACCAACAATAACTCCTCCAAGAACAACTGTAACAACATCTCCGACATCACCACTGCCAGGTAATTATGGGTCTCTTAATTAAGGCTGTGTTCATACTAATACATTTAAAACTATTTTTTCCTCTCTATTTTGGCCTTATGTTCTTCTGTAACAACTGTATCTTTTTGTAAACGCCCTCCTGGATAAGTTTGAAAATGCTGTTTTCGTGGTGCATGTGAACTTTAAACACAAAGGCTTTTAAAAATGATGATGCATTTTTTTAAATTTGTGACCAATTCCGTTAAGTGAAGTTTTATAAACTAATTTCGATAGGAGCATGTGGTAAGATTGATTATGGCTGGCTTCTCATCCGTAATGAGTAGGCCCACCCCGAATCTGTGCAAAGAATTACACAGATTTTTAGCATATCATTAATTTTGTTAATTTACATGAGTAAATGTGTGTAAATCTATATTTATTCAGTTTTTTTTTACTTAATTTCAGTTTTGTGATTTCAATTTTCAATGTGAAAATGTTCATCTGATTTATGTCATTGTTGTGTAGAGAAAATGGGCGAGGACTTAAATGCAAGGAAATATGGGTATTCATTTATAAAAATAAAAGTCAAACAAACTAGACTGGGCAGGCATGCAAACCTGAGAACAGTACAAGACAGGAAACGACGACATATGATGACAAACTGGCACAGGACAGCAGACATGAGGAGATTATAAGCAGAAATAAATTGACACAAACAGGTGAACATAAGAAACTAATTATGGGTTAACAAGGAGGGTGGGACTGGACAATAGACGGGAGAGCGCATGACACAAAGAGACAACACAAGCCATGCGCTCACATAAAACAAGACTAGAACTCGCAGCCAATGAGAGAACTCATTAACCGCGCGGTCGTATGACAAGACAAACACAACACTGAAGCACACAACAAAACGTGACCCCAATGTAAACAGAGCCACATGCTTTGACAACAGATGCAAGACACGAGCACACGATAGATAAACACCTTACCATGTGCTCACACATATGCAACGCGCATGCTTCATCTCAGCCTCAACAAAAACCGAAACCAACTAGACGGAGACGCTGATAATGAAACAGCGTGATGCTGACAGAACAAAACACAAACATGAGTACAAGAGCGCCCGTCCGAGACACGCAGAGCCCGCGCGGCAGCATTAAGCGGGAGCACACAGAGACACACACACAATGACAGAAACAGGACAAGACAGAGCTAGTGTTCGGACTCTGCCACCAAAACAAGAATTTACAAGACCAGAGTGGCAGAACCCTGACAATTTATGTCAAATGCAGTTTGTAAAGTAATATTTTCTGTCTTTTACTAGATATATTATATGACAAACTTGCTTTATTTACCAAATAAAGTGAATCTAACTGGATTTGCATTTTAAACATTAAATAAAACTTAAAAATATATATTTTGTTATTTCATACATTAAGGTTTTAGTTCTGATACTTCCAAAATAATTTCGCAGAAATCCAAAGACTTTCACCAAAATTCTCTGCAGAAATAGCAAAAAACATCCGCAGATTCCGTCTGGCCCCTTCCACCCCATCTCTTCCTTTTCCTCCCTTTACCAGGAGGAGCTCTAGAGACCTGAAAATTAAAAAAAAACTGAAATGTTTGTTTTTTCTTCTGTCAGCACCACAAATCTTCTACCCGTTCGGTTCGGCAGCAGGAGACTCAATAAATCCTGCTGCTGATGATGGAGGCTCCTCTGTTATTCCACTGTTGAGTCCATTTCTGTACTTTGGCCGCACATACCAGCAGATTTACGTAAGAATCTGATTCAACTTTGTTTATCAGTTATGGATGCTGTTTAAAGTTCTCTGTGATCAGTAAAACATGCTGCTTTGATTTGTTGATTTTTCCGGCAGGTTAATAACAATGGAGACCTCACATTCAGCCAGAATTTAGAACAATATGTTCCCTACGTATTTCCAGGTAATGGAAGTCAAGATATAATTGCTGGACTCTGGACTGACCTTGATAACCGTGAGAGAGGAGTTGTCTCTTATAACCAGTACACTAATGGAAGTGTTCTCACTCGCGCCACTCAGGATATCAACAATTATTTCCCATATCTGACCTTCACTGCTTCTTGGGTCTTTGTTGCAACGTGGGATAAAGTTGCTTACTATCCCGTTACAGACACAGTAAGATTAACACACTTCAGAAATCTTAATGTTTTGACTATGTATGATTTAAATAATAATGATGACAGTACTAATGCTAATAAATAATAAACACTAACCTTGTTCCTTTTAGAAAACATCTTTTCAAATGGTCTTAATTTCTGACAGTAGTAATTCATTTGTCCTCATGAATTATGGTGACATTGCTGTAGCGGGACAACAAGTGGAGGTAAAAGAAAGTCTATTGAGAACACAGTGTTTCTATTCTCCAATGCATAAAAGTGCAGTATATAGGCTACTCTATGAATACAGCATCAATACTGTTTTATGTACTGTTTAGGCTGGTTATGACACCATAAACTCCACAAATTACTTTGTGATTCCTGGATCAAACAACGGGATCTCCATCTCAAATCTCCAGAACTCCAGTAATGTCAGTGATCCAGGCCGATGGGTTTTCAGGGTGGACGGTGGACCAGAGACAAACAGAGGTAACTGTTTAACTGTATATTCAATGTCATGGCTTGACTATCTTGTCAACAGAGTCATAGAATTTCTGGAATATCATGGAAATTTACTGTAAAAGGTCTGCAATATCAGGGATTTTTACTTGTCGCTTTGAATTTTAGTTTCTATGTATTAAAATGGAAGTTCATGTATTTTTTAAATTGCACTGTTTCACACCTGGGCGACGCAGTGGCACAGTAGGTAGTGCTGTCGCCTCACAGCAAGAAGGTTGCTGGGTTGCTAGTTCGAGCCTCGGCTCAGTTGTCGTTTCTGTGTGGAGTTTGCATGTTCTCTCTGCGTTCGCGTTGGTTTCCTTCGGGTGCTCCGGTTTTCCCCACAGTCCAAAGACATGCGGTACAGGTGAATTGGGTAGGCTAAATTGTCCGTAGTGTATGTGTGCATGTGTGTGTGGATGTTTCCCAGAGATGGGTATCCGCTGCGTAAAAATGTGCTGGATAAGTTGGCGGTTCATTCTGCTGTGGCGACCCCGGATTAATAAAGGGACTAAGCTGACAAGAAGATGAATAAATGATTGTTTCACACCTAATGTTATGCTTAGCATATTTTCAGCTCTATTTTCTTCTGTTAATGCTGATCAACTGGCAACCTCAAATACAGTAACCATACCTGTTAAGGTTAACATGTGAGTATAATACACATTTTAAAAGCTTTGGCTTCAAAGTAATCACTTAAAAATACAGGGTGTAAAAATAATAGATGACAGAAAAGCTTAAGTAAATGTAAAGTTTGTTAAACTACTTTAAAGCTATGAAATACAGGAGATTTTTCAAAATCTCAGGTAAATTACCCATTGTTGTTCTAATAGAGCTATTAATGTCATGCAAAATATTATTCAATCTAAAACCATTTCAATATGAATCAAAACTGCCTATTTTTCTGTTCTGTAAATTTCTAGATGTCATGGAAATTCCTCTTTTTACTCTGTGAACATGAGAAAAAAGTCAGGTGTATGAGCTTATTTGTTCAGATTCAATAATCAATGTTGTATGATGCATTTTAATTTCGAATAGGTCAGACTTTACAATAGGTTCATTAGTTAATGTTAAGTAATGCATTTACTAACATGAACAATACATTTACTACAGTATTTATTTATGTTAGTTAACGTTAGTTAATGAAAATACAGTAGTTCATTGTTAGTTCATGTTAACTCATCGTGCATTAACTAATGTTAACAAGCATGGACTTGGATGTTAATAGTGCGTTAGAAAATGTTCAATTATGATTAATAAATGCTGTACATGTGTTGTTCATGATTAGTTCATGTTAGTAAATGCATTAACTAATGAACCTTATTGTAAAGTGTTACCTTTGAATATTTTTGTTTTGAATTGTTTGCATTTGGGAACTTGCATTATTCATATGTGTTGTTCAGCTGGATATTCTGTGCCTTTTCTATTGAGGATATGTATGCTAAAAATTGTGTGCGGGCTCTTTATGAATTGCGTCTGTTAATTCTGACGGCAGTCTTTAGAATACAGCGGAGTCACACAGTTCTCTTTACTTTTTAAATTTTTTCATGTATCTATGAGTTAAGATTAAAAGACGACCTCTGACATGAATCGGACTATATAGTTTCTTGGACACGAAGCGAGTAAGAATAAAACTGAAAGCAAGATGCACACTCACATCAGGGAATTTAATATTTGGATTTTAACCTTGTGTCAAGTTTCATTTTAAAACTTACTCTGTTAGACTACGCTTAAAACTAACATACATATAGAAATTTAACAAATAATTAAACATACTGAGTGTGTTTTTCTCTTGTCTGTGTTTGTTTCTGTTTAGAAAATGTTGTTGGACTTCAAGCAGACCTTGTCTCATTTTTGGACCTAACAGAAAGTGCAAACATGCAGATTGTTTTGCAGCAAGTAAGATGCAAACATAACTACAGTATGTGTACAAAAAGCTGTGCTGAAAGACAATGATGAAGTTTGACCTGTCTGTTCATCTTTGTTACAGATCAAGCAGGAGCTGGTCAAGAAAGGTCTTCCTAGCAACATAAACCTGGAATTAAGAAAAATAAAAAAGATTAATCCATAGAGTCCATCAAAAAAAAAATTAAAATAAACAAAACCATATGTCCAGTGGTGGTAATGATGCTTTCATATAAAAGATATACAAAACAGACACAAAATAGCATAAATGTAACATATATAAGATAATGTAAGATAAGATAATGTATGTAAGATAATGCTGTTTTGTAATAATCTCTGATCTATATTATTTTTTCTTATATCATACATATTTATATATGATATATATTATATGTATACATGGGCAAAGCAGTGGCGCAGTAGGTAGTGCTGTCGCCTTACAGCAAGAAGGTTACTGGGTTGCTGGTTCTATCCTTGGCTCAGTTGGCATTTCTGTGTGGAGTTTGAATGTTCTCACTGCGTTTGTGTGGGTTTCCTCCGGGTGCTCCGGTTTCCCCCACAGTCCAAAGACATGCGGTACAGGTGAATTAGGTAGGCTAAATTGTCCGTTGTATATGTGTGCATGTGTGTGTGGATGTTTCCCAGAGATGGGTATCCGCTGCGTAAAAACTTGCTGGATAAGTTGGCGGTTTATTCCGTTGACGTGACCCCAGAATTATAAAGGGACTAAGCCGACAAGAAAATGAATGAATGAATGTGTTATATGCATACTTAATCATGCTGTTATGAAATATGGGTTAAATACTTTTAAAGGAAATTTAATGAAAGTAAAACTATAAGAATAAAGACACACTGCACACTTTTAGGATACAGACCTGTTGTTTTCGAAGGTTTAGTTTGTGTTAAAAATCAGGAGAGCTGCATGTGAAAAACAAATACTATGGACGTCAATGGTTGCAGGTTTTCAGCTTTCTCCAAAATATATTTTGTTTTTGATGGTGAAGGGAAGAGAGAGCAAATGATGATTTGTATTTTTTTTTTTCATTTTGGTGTAAATTATACATTTAGTTATTATAATCAGCAGATAATTTCATTAAAAACATTGTTTTATAGAATCACTTGTATTGTATATCTATGCATTTTTTCAGGACATAATGTACTAATGTGCAGATTTTGTATGGATGTTTTTGAATATCAATTATAAATCAAATTATAATCAAATATGCACTACAAGTAAACATGATATGTGCATGTGCATATATTTACATTCATGTATTTGGCAATCGTTTGATTTTATTTAAGTTCAAATGCAAATAAAATGTATATATTCCTAATACTTCATTTTTTATTTATTGAATTAGGAATTAATATTAGTTTGAGTATTATGTTGTGCATGTCCAGTGTTGGAAAGAGTTCTGAAAAATCATACTTAAGTAAAAGTACCATTACTTGCCTAAAATTTTAGTGCAAGTAGAGTAAAAGTATCTGTTGTAAATATTATTCAAAGTATGAGTAAAAAGCAGCCCTTTCAAAAAGTACTCAAGAGTAGTGAGTAGTGGCTATTACTCTGTAAGAAGCTGATGGATTTATATGTAATTTGTGGATGTGTGTAAACGCAACATTCTGTAGTGCATTTAGTTATTAACCAGCAGGCACACAATGCCATAAGACATCTATACTAGGTTAGATTTAGGTAAGGACAATTTTTTTTTTGATGTCCAATAATGACGTCAAATGACATTGATATTTGGTTGATTTTAGGTTGTGTTGGAAAGTGACCAACATCCATTATCGTGCCAACATTTTAAACCAATTCTTCGGGGATGGCAACCAAAATTCAACGTCTGATAGACCATAGTGGTAATGTCCACACAACGTCAAGCTGTAACATCATAAGAAGTTGCTTTTAGGTCGGCCGTAGGACATTGGCATCGGCCTGACGTTGAGTTCTGATGTCAACTCAATTTTCATTTACAAAATAAATGAAAAGTCCCCACAACATTGGGGTACAACAACAATCTGACGTCATGTTAATGTCCTGCGCCTGTGTGTTTAAGACCCTTTCAGTCATCATACAGTAAACATCCGTCATCTTCTCATCAGTGACACCATGTAAACTAGGGGTCACCAAACTTGTTTCTGTAGGGCCGGTATCCTGCAGATTTTAGGTCGAACCCTAATCAAACACACCTGAACAACCTAATTAAGGTCTTACTAAGTAAACTTGAAATATCCAGGTGTGTTGAGGCAAGTTGGAGCTAAACCCTGCAGGGACACCGACCCTCCAGGACCAAGATTGGTGACCCCTGATCTAAACAGTCTCTGGGTCAATGTGTGCAAAGAATTTAAACATTTTCTCTTGGACACATTTAATGCTTCCAAACAGTTTGATGCAATTATAAATCACCTATGTGACAAGAATCATAGGACTGATTTTTCTAATCCCTCTAGACAAGAAATAAACAAAGTAGTGACTGCAGGTTGAAGGAAAGTAGTGGAGTAAAAGACAGATACAGCACTAAAAATGCACTCAAGGCAAAGTAAGGGTGCTTTCACACCTGCCTTATTTAGTTCGATTGAATCGCACTAGAGTTCGTTTTCCTTTTTGGTGTGGTTCGTTTGGGTAGGTGAGAATGCAGCAATCGTACTCGAGTGCGCACCAAAAGACTAAATAAGCTTACCGAGACCTGCTTGAAGAGGTGGTCTCGGTACGCTTTCAAATGAACCCTGGATCGGTTCGTTTGTGGTGAGAATATGATCCGTACTAAAACAGGTCCAACCGCAAAAAGTACTGCGACTTTTAGACTAATTCAGCTGCCGTAGGCCGATGCACTGTGCATTGTGGGATATGGAGGAAAAATATTTATTGACAGCGCTTTACCAGCAGAGAGAGAGAAGGGAAAACACTACCTGATGGTTTGTTGGTAATATTTCCGCAAGATGACCATGTCGCATTTTAGCTAAATGAATTCATGCCTCCTCCCGAAGTGACGAGCGATGCATTAAAACCCTGTTTTCCATCCGCGGCCAAGCTTCATTCCCGAAATGTATAGTTTGTCTAAAGCAGGGATACAATCAAAAAAAAGCGACATTTTGTGTCTGCCGGTTTTGTTTACGTGCAGGAGTTCACTGGCATTTTCCGACACGTGAATTCTGACCAATCGATAAGCAGTTTAGGAAATATGTTCAACAACATCTGGCCAATGAGTGATGTGGATTTCGTCAGATGACTGCATTTTGGTTAGTTTCAACTGGTTCGGACCAAAGCCAGCAGTGTAGTGTGAAAACAACCCAAAGACGGCAGAAGATGTAACAATGCAACAATGTATCATTTATTGCCCTTGGTCCGGACCAAATGAAGCGAATTACAGATGTGAAAGCACCCTAAAAGTACACCTTACCTACTTACGTAGAAAATTACAATTCCTGAGAAAAACTACTCAATTGCTCAATTTGAGTATTTGTAATTTGTTACTTCAAATGCCTTAGTTCACATCGCATCTCCATTCACCAGCACAGTCACTACCATGAGCAGCTCTGAGGACTACCTTTCCCAGAATTCCACTCCCTCCACTTTCACATTTTACTCCACCATTGTCTGTTCTCGATTCCTCACCTCCTTTTTTAACCTTTATACTACATGCCAGGGGTCCTATTTGACTAATCTAAAGGGTTTGTAGTAAATCAGCATGAAGAATCACACTCAAGGCAGGAGAGCAGTACAGCCAACTTTTTGCAACGCTATATCCAAATATTCAGGATACATAACTCAGTTTCACATCACAGCATTGGTTGTATAGCATTTCCAACCACTGCTTAAGATCCCCATCTAGTGTTCAACCTAAAGAACTAGCATAGATCTCAATCCGCTACACTTCTTCCTTCTTGAAAGAAAAACAATCACTCCCAGCCAAACAAACAAAAAAAATGCATTAAAATTGAACCACATGAGGCTGTTCATAACTGATGAATAAAGATTGAGTATGCTCTTGGGAGCTGTAAGTGTGTGTTTTTGCAAATCTACTCTGCATGTCTTCTCCAAGTCTGTCTAGTTCTTGTCAATACAGTGTATGACAGTGGACCTGTATCCCTCTCAACCACTGCGAGAACTCGTTGCACCCTGTAGGCATAATGTGCCACATTAGATCTTTGCTGTTGTAATGCTCTTCTTTCTGTTTCACCTGCTTTCTTTGTACTTTGGTTGCCAGATCTGGTAGAAGCAAACCAATAAAACATTGTCTGGACATCGTCTGTTCAGAAGAAGACAATCCTGTCGTAGTCTGGGGAGTAATCTTACAGTGTAACTAAATCGGAACCTACTCAATCTTATCTAAAAAAGACCATTTTTAAAAGCTAAGCATTTGAGGAAGTGAGCAGTTCTGGTATGTCGAATTCCATTCATATCATGAATGCAGCAAAATCCACACTTGTACAATAAGATCTGTTGTTTGATAACATCTGAGGCATACACTGAAAATCTTAACTTTTATGTAATGAACTGAGAGGTGGCTATACAGGTAGATGTTTGGTAAATGTCTATCCATTTTAAATGAGAGTTCACAACAATCAGAAACATCTTCCCTTGAAATGGACCCACGGAATCCTCTATTAGAAACACTATGTAATAGAAAGGCTAGTGTAATAGAAACACTATGTAAAATAACTTGTAAAAATAAACTATGTGCTACGCTATAGGTAATGAACTGAGAGGTGGCTATACAGGTACATGTTTGGTAAATGTCTATCCATTTTAAATGAGAGTTCACAACAATCAAAAACATCGTCCAATGAAATGCACCAACAAAATCCTCATGTATTTGGGACCAGGGAATAGTTGGCCATTTCCATACATATTTCACACAACTGAGCCTTCATTTCCACATCTCTGTTCATAATTGGCGAGAAATATGAACAAGAAATTAGATCTGGCTAAGCCTTCTTTTTTAAAATACCCATATCCCGAGGCTGGTGGAGTAGTTTTAATAACATCTCACACCCTCCACAACTCTTACTCCCCACAACACACAGCCATCCTAGATACTTAGCTCTGTTCTTCTCTGATGAAACTCAGGATCTAGCTGACAGGTGTCAAATTTAGTTCCTGGAGGGTCACAGCTCAGCACAGTTTAGTTCCAACACTAATCAGAGAACTGATCAAACTAATTGATCCTCGATTGGTCTCATGCAATCATGTAATGCGATTTCTCAGGTCAGAGTTCCTCAAGTCTGAACTTTGCATTACACAAGCT